CCTAACGCAACACGACACCTACCCTCACCTCCCACTGCACACTCCCACCTCCGCCCACCTCCTTAATAGACATTCTCACCTCCCCCCCAACACGCATACTCCTTAATACACACTCTCATACCCACAGCCTGCCTTTTCCCGGGCCACGCTGCGGCCCAGAGAAAGTTGTGAGGCGCTAGGGGCAGCCTGTTCTGGGAGGTGAGGACGGAGGCTGGGCACCGAGGTGTTGGAGTTCTGGGGGCTCCAGCAGACGGATTCAACTCTGCCCAGGAGGGGAGGGAAGGGGATGCAGGGAAGGGTATGCAGGGAGAGAGGGAGGAGGAGGGGGGATGGGGAGGGGGGCAGTGAGGAGAGAGGGGTGCTGGGGGGCACAGGGAGCAGGAGAGAGGGGTGCGGGGGGGCGCAGGGAGGAGGAGCGAGGGTTCAGGGTGCGCCACCCCAGGTAAGCGCTGCCTGGGCGGTGGCAGCGCGCCCACCCCACGCGGGGAGGCGCTAAGCACAGTTGGGCTGCGCAGCCGGCAAGGGTCAACTGGGGGGCTACCAGCACCCGGCCGCTTTCGGAGAGAAGGAACGGGGAACAAAAGGGGTGGGGGAGCGGGGCCGTGGCTGATTTATGCGCGCACTTCAGCCTGTGTTTTCACTGCCGTTAACGAGAAAAAAGCCGCGGCCGGAGAGGAAGGGGCGCTGCGGGACCTGCCCGGCGGGGGCGCAGCGGCGGCGGCGACGGCACGGGGCCGAGTGTGAATCCCGCGCGCCCGCCCAACTCACAGCCCGGAGCCCAGGCCAGTTGGGTGTCGGGGTCCGGAGACATCCCCCCAGGCGCGCGGAGCCCTGGCTGAGCGCAGGCCCACGGGGGGGGGGGCAGGAGGGGCGCGCCAGCCCCAACTCGAGAAGCAAATCCAAGGGGGCCGTGCCCCGATGCCCTGGACCTTCCTGAAACGGCCCTTCCTCGTATTATTCTAATTACGGTATTGTAAATTTCCCTTTAAAAAAATTAAGACAAGAAACAGAAAAGCCCAGAAGGCACTTGTTTGGTTTCATTTTGCCTTCACAGCTTGAATGACTCGGTTTGTGGAAGCTGTTTAGGAAACTGGTGAGGAGGAGGAGAAGGAAGGGGAGGCCAGGAGCGGCTCCGGCTGTGGCCTCGGATGCCCAGCGCCCCTCCCTTCTGTCCCCGGGGGGCCACCCAGCCAAGGGGGCAGGGTGTCTCTACTCCTCAGTCCCAACCCGTGACCCCGCCTCTCTCCCTTTCCAACAGGCCTGGGGCGGCGGGGGGGGGGGGGGGGGCTCCAAGGGGTCTCCATGCCACAGCAACATCAGGGCTGAGGGTCAAAAGAACATGCTGGGGTGGGGGCGGGGCGCTCCAGGAGGGGCCGTTCAGATTCACTAACCTTACTCTCCAAGCACTTGGGAGGAGGGGGTCCTTCTCTACCCCCAACCTCAAAGTCCTAGGCAGCCCACACCCTCCTTAGAAGACAGTGGTGAAGAGGGGAACGGGAGATGGGAAGGTCTCATCTTAGGCCTGACAGCCAGAAACTCAACAGCGTGGGTGGGGAGGCGATGGGCTCCCCAAAGCTTCAAAATAAAAAGTAAAAATGTATTCTGCTCTACCTGTACAAACGAAGGCAGAGCTTTAAAATGTAGAGCCAGGTAGTTCCACAGCCCAAGGGAGCTTGGTTGGCTTGTGACTTCTCTCACCTAGGGCAGATTAGGACCAGGGTGGAGCTGCCTTCAGCCACTTGGCTAGTCTCAGGCCTTACCTCTGACCTCTGGCCCAGCCCCGTTCCACCAGTCTGGGGTCCGGTTCCTGACTCTGCCTCTTTCCCCCCATCCTGCTACAAGTCCCAGTCTGACCTAACTACCAAACAAACCTCATCTTTAGCTGCCTGCTTACCCTCCGGCCTCAATTCAGCAGCTCGGTGCCAGACCCATGCTGGCCAGTCTGCAGCCCAGCGGTAGAAAGGAGCCAGAACCAGCCTGAGGTTTGTGAGGCCCGAGTTCAGATCCCAGATCTATCCCTGAGTCCCCATGTAACCCCCGAACATGTCAGGGCCTGTCCCAAAGCTTCAGCAGTTAAATAAAGGGGTTGGAAAAGGGGAACTGTTTTGTCCTCTGGAATTCCCAGCTGGGGGTGTGGAGTGGAGAGAGGAGGGAGGAGAGAAATTACCTCCGAAATTTCTCCCCTGTAGTGATACTTTCACTTTAATGAGAAAGCGCATTAAGACACTCTTGATTTTCCATTCGTTTGAGATGGGTGTTTGCTGTAGTGTAGAGGGAGACACGGGATGGGCCACCGCACCACACCCACACACATGCACGCACACACCTGCACACACAGCAGAGACACTGGGAAAACTCTGATTTTAATTGCATCTTAAAAAGAAGTGTTATCATGATACCACGGTCCCTTCTCAACCACCCCAGTCAGAGGCCAAGGCAAGACTCTTTAAAAACTCCAGGAAAGCTAAGGGGTGGGGTGAGACGATCCTCAGGGCTGACCAGGCTTTTGAAGTGGCCTCTGCTGGCCAGTCACTTGCTGACACCTCCTTCTAAGGGTCTGGGGTTTTATGGTTCTGGGTTTGATTTTTCCACCAGCAGACTTTATGGCTTAAAAATCCTCAGTGCTGTAAAGGGAGCTCATCCCCATATCCACCCGGGAGGGGGGTGAGGGAAAAGAGACAGAAGTGCCTGCCACCTGACGGGAGCTTGCACACCCGCTAGAAAGAGCCCCACTCTGTGGAGACAGCCTTGTCTCCCTCAGCTTGATATAAGCCTCAAGGCAGAGGTGGATGGGGCCACGAGGAGGAGTCCAGTGTGACCTGAACCAGCCTGGCTATTAGAGAGAAAGAGCCCTGCATGCAAGTCCACAATCTATGGTCAGGTGAAGGCAAGACACGAGGAAAGCCAACATTCTGGCCTTGGTTTTCCCCATCCGTGAAATGGGACGCACTGGGCAGACCCAAAGAACATTCTGAAAGATATTCTGTGCCTGTGGCATTAGAAAAACGGGCTGCGTAGGAGGAAGGGGCATGTTCTCCCTCCTGAAGGCAGATTTCTAAGGGCTTCACATTCTGGGCAGAGGGAAGACTGCACGCCGACCCCACCAGTTGGCCCTTCTCTAGGCGGGTGGGCAGGGAGCCCCTGCCGTGCTAAGTAATGAGCACAATTCCAGCACCGGTTCTGCTCACTAGTGAGAAATCAAAGCCCGGTATTAGAGGCCATTTCTGGCTGGGCTCCGTTTGTGCCCAAATCCATCAAAGCCCTGGGCCTGGTGTTTCCTCTGGGGAAGGTGGGGGCTGGATGCTTTGTTAAGCAGGGAAGGCAGGCCGCCCCCAGCCTCCCCGGCTGAACCTGGCCCTGGAGAGCCCTAGGCCAACCGGTCGTGTCTTTTTCCTGCCCAGGGGAGGTCCTCCCCCACCCTCAGTAACCTCAGTATTTATTCTTAATCCCATTGCCGGGCTGGTTCTAAAAGAGTGTCTCAAGCCCCAACCCTGTCCAAGTGCCCTTTACAGAGACTTCACCCTACCCTTCAATCACCCTCAAACCAGAAACCGACACCCCAGCCCAGCAACTCCCACATTCAACTGCACTCTTTAAAACAAGGTTGGTCATTCAGCAGCCTGCCCCCTCCCCCCATCATTACCTTCCAACTTCAAAACACTGCTTTAAATACCAGAGTCTGCCCAAATCGTAATTAACTTGGATCAAATGATTGTGTCGTAACTTTACAACAGAGGGCTGGAAAAAAAAAAAGTGGAGGATGTGCTAAAACCAAGCCCTCGCTCCTAGGCCGTGGGAATCATTAATTCCAGAGTGAGGAATCTCTGGCTATTGGGGTGTACGTGGGGGGCGGATGCCAACATCCCAGCGAAAGGTGGCGGGGGTGGGCTGCGTCACCTCGTCTACTTTCTGCGCCAGCTTTCCTGCCGGGTTCTCAGCCTCAACTCCGAGGACTCCGTGCAGGACGCCCCCCCCAACCTGCACCCCACCCTGCCCGGCCCCGGGAGCCGAGGTGTCCAGCGGCCGCCGCCAGCCCACCTACTTGGGTTCCGGCACCAAAGAGAGGTTGGCTCGCCTTGAAGACGCAGCCCAGTCGGCGACGCGGGGCCCAGCTACAGACAAGCAAGAGGCATACACAACCAGGGCGAGGGGGTGGTGGGGGTGGTGGTGGTGGTGGTGGTGACTTTATTTTAGGAGCCCACCAACCCCCTTAAGGCATCTTATCTTGCAGGCCCACTGTAGGCAAGCGCATCTTGTCTGCTCCCCGGACTGGGGAGAATGTCAGTGACCCATTTAAAAGGAAACTTGGCAGCATCACTACATACTCCCCCCCCAACACACACACGCACCAAATCCCAGAAAAAATCCTTCCAGACCTGCGGATCCTGGGGTTGCGGGGAAAGCTGTACGGCAGTATTCAGCCCTTCCCCCTTCTATAGCCAAAGCCCTTCAAGCTGGCCTCCCCCGGCTCGCGGAGCGGACTCGCGCTTCCCGTGCTCCGCAGGTCTCTCGCTCCTTCCCGTCTGCGGATTCCGGTGGGTGCAGCGCGTAGGAGCTTGGGAAGAGTCAGGAACCACGACTAGGAAGTTTCCGGCGAAAGGCAAGCAAGCACACACCTGGCCCGAGCAGCAATAGTCTTTTCTATTCTTTTTTTTTTTTTTTGCCGTCGCCATGCGCGGGGAGCCGGGGGTCCCCTGGAGGCCAGTCCTCCGGGAGAAGCAGACTCCGACTCGGACACCCGCTCCAAGGAAAAGAAGCGATCCCTTCTAGGAGGGCGTCAGGGGAGGCAGGAAGCTTACTCTGAACCACCTGGCAGGCGCCCCCAGCGAGGTGGCTGCGCCATCGACCACTTTGGTGGGGAGGAGAAATCTACCTTCTAACTTGGGTGCCCTTGCGCTTTCCCTGTGCACATCGACGCGTGATGGACCACTTCAACTTAGGAACAGACTGGGGCGCAAAGGTCCCCTATACCCCCGCCCCCATGCCCGATCGCTCCCTACCTGCTTGGCTCAGCCTTGGGTCCCAGCAGAGCAGCAGCGCCAGCAGCAGCGCGCCCCGTGCTCCGCTCCGGGCCCACATGCTCCCGCGGCCAGGCTCGGGCGCCTCTCCCCCGGGGCTCTCTCCCTGGCCCCAGCCTCGCCGCCGCCGTCTCCGCCGCCGCCGCCTCCTCCTCGCCGTCCTCCCCGGCGCCCGGCCGCGCCAGCCCGTGCCTTCCGTGGGGGCAGCGGCAGCCACGCTGCGCAGAGGGCTGCCTGGCGCTCGGAGCGCAGTGGGTGCCCAGAGCCCGCTCTCCAACCAGGCTCCGGCGCGCCCCTCTCTGCGCTCCTCAGGCTCTGGGGCTCCGAGCGCTCTCCGGGCTCCCACGCCCTGGCTTCGAAGTTACGCGACGGAAGGTGAATGCACTCAGCGGCCCTCGCAGCGGCTGGCCCCGCGCCGTCAGAACCCCCGCGCGCGCCTCTCTGCGCCCCGCCGCTGCCCGCGGCCCCGGCGCCCTCGCCGGCCCCCGCCGCCTGCCACAATGCCGAGCGCTGCCGCTCGCTCGCCCTAGTCAGTCCGCGAGCAAAGCGGGACGGCGCGCGGCCTGGGCGGGGCCTGGGCGGGCAAGGGCGGGGCCGGCAGGGGGCCCCCGGAGGGGGGAAACCGACGGCCACCTGGGCGGCGCCGCGGCCCGAGCTGGGGGCCTTTGGGGGGGGGGTCCTCGCGAGATGCTGGGCCTGGCGAGTTGGAAAACCCGGCCACTGGAAAGCAGCTGGAAACGGAGTCTGCCCAATTTTCTTTTCCAAAAACTAAGGAAATGTATCTAAGCTCTCCTTTGGCTTGGCTGTGTTGGCTTTATCATCTGATTAAGTTGACGACTCTCACTTTTGGCTCCCTTAGTCTGTATTACGTCCCTATGCCTTCAGCCTATGGAGATGTTTCCAAAAAAGACTCCCTAAATGGGAAAATCTCAAATACTCAAGTTCTGGCTAGGCTGGGGCTTACAGCTATGTGAAGGTGGGTACAGATGTGGCTCATCCTGGATGGCTCTACAACCTTAGGCAGAACTGTTTACCAGACCCCTCTAAACCTCCTGGAGCACTTTAGGTGCTAATGTTAAAAACCTGCCCTCCAAGGGACAGTGGGGCAGAGGGGAGAGGAACAGCCTTTGGGCTCTGCTCCTCACCTTCTGTGTGACCTTGAGCAAGTTACTTAACCATTCTGACGCTCCCTTCATCATCATCTAAAATAGAGAAAAATTATAATTATCTCATAAGGGGGTGTAGAGTTGAATGAAAAAAGTATGTATGGAAACTGCATAAACGTCAGTAATCTCTCTTTCCAAGATCTCGCCTCCCTGCCAGTCTGATTTGTGGGGGAAAGTCCTGGCCACCCAAAGGTGGGCTAGAAGACATATGGAACTAGGTGGAGTTTGAGGGATGGTAGTGTCTTGAGATTGAAACACAGAGATGTCAGGAGGGGTGAGCCAGCTACACTGGCAAAGACCTGTGCCCCAGGAAAGGGGTTAAGCACTTTGTATGCGTTACCTGAGTTAGTCCTCACAACAACTCTGAGTTGTACCAATTGTATCCCCATTTTATAGTTGATGGAATGGAGGCACAGACATGTAAAGTCATTTGCTCAAGATCACACGGCTTTGTGAGAATGAGTGAGTGAAGGGGGCAGGGGAGATGGGATTGGAAAGAAACTCTCTGAGCTGGGGAGCATCCACCCTACCCCTCCTCTGGGGCTGGACTTGGCAGCCAGCAGGAATGCCTCTCCCCCCCCAGCTCTGATCTGTTCTCTACTTGGGATTTTTCTGGATCTGAGATCTAGAATCGCTCCTCAAATACGAGTGCAGTGGGCTGCTTCCGGAAGGGGTGAAAAAATTCAGAGGTTGGTCCAGCCAGGCCCAGGAGCCAGTAGGGGATGGGCTGGAAGAGGGCCAAGTATCCCCAGGGATGCTTCCTAGATGGGAGGAGAAAGGACTTGGGGACCGACCCTGCAGGCTGGAAGGGGACTTGGTAGGAGCAGAGAAGCAGTAAGTATTGCCCAATATCCTCCTCCCCACACAGTCCCGCACAGGTTGGGGTCTGGAGCATCTGGGGCAGGGTGCTTGTAGTCAGCCCCCTCCCCCGCCCTCTCTGGCTGGGCATTCAGGATCAGGAGGGTGGATCTGGGTGGAGCAGGACTCCCTGGGAAGAACTTTGGCCAACTGAGAAAGGTCCCTGTGGGCAAAGGTAGTTGGGTTATTTTTGGCTTGGCCCAGGACAGCCAGCAGGGATGGTGGATGAGAGTCAATAGCTCATCACGCCAAGCCAACCCCACCCATCCACACAACTACAAGCCTGCATACGTGCACGAACCCCTGGACGCCGTTATAAGCACACCTCGCGAGAGACACCTACAAAAGTAAGCATAGCTAAACGTGCAGCAAAGACCCACAGGTGCAAAAGGACCCTCCTTGAAACACTTACAGGTAGGCATCCAACTGCACAGAAAACCCTATACCTAAGACGAGGGACCCCCAAAAAGCACACACATACCCTGTGTCACAGACACAAACGCATACACAGACATACACCTCCAAAAGCACAAATATACTCTCAAGAAAATGACACTAAAGACAAATTGATACTTAGATACCTAACTTCCTGGAGGAAACACATACAGGAACACAGGTACCAAGACCCACTGCTGACTGTCATCCCCTGGATTCAGACACATGGTCAAGGACACTATGCTAAATAACTCAGCAGGGACCTCAGCAGAAACATGGCATGCATGCGGGGACCACCCGGCTGGTGCCGGTGCCCTCCCTTTCTCTCTCTCTCTCTCTCTCTCTCTTCATCAGAGGCCAGTGGGAATTGGAGATTTTTCCAAAAACTACAGTCCTCTGGACTTGCTGTTCAGCCAGTAGTTGCACCAGGTAGGCCCTTCTAATCCAATGTCAGGTTTTATGACTTTAATTCCTGGCAGCAGGGAAGGGGGGATGGGAGGGCAAGCAACAGAAGAGTGGTTATTTATTTCCCCCTCTCCTGCAGGTGTCTGCCCCACTTTCCTACCCAGCCTAAAAACTCTTTCAACTCTTAAAATATGCCTATGGAGACTGGGGGGAAGGTCCTGGGCCCTGTTTTTCCTCCAGGACGCCAGCATCAGGGTGGGGAACTTAGTACATTGGGGATCCCTCCGAAATTCCCCTGCCCCTCTCCCATGCTGTAACAGTGTGAGTGCTGGTCCTCAGCCAGGGCCAGGGAAAGGACTTCAGAGGGAGTCATAATACCCTGAGCACATACCTTTTCCTAGGATGGGTGAAGAGCGGGCAAAGCCCAGGCCCTGGGATGACTGATTGGAGTAACTGGATTGAGAATTACCAAGGTGTTCCCAAACCCAGTGCGGTCAGACTCACAGCAAAGGTGTCCTGCTGTGAGTTAAGAAGGAGGGGGAGGTGGTGAGCTGCTTAGAGGCAGGGCCCCTCCTTTCCGGATTATCATTATATATCCAGCTTGGAAGACTTCATCCTGCACACAATAGGCCTATGATCAATATTGGTTGAGTGGAAACATCAACGAGGCTGGAAAAAGAGGGGTTAATGAGCAAAGGGCCCATAGCCTTTTCAACCAACCCTAGAAGGAGCCTCTCACCTCCCCCTCCATTTCCTGGGGGCTTAGGGTCTGGGGCAAGGAGGTGGGGCTGCCTTCCTGAAACATAGCTGCTTTGAGACAGTCTCAGAGCCAGTTCTAACCCTTAGTGGGGGCTGCAGATGCTTCCATGGGCTATCCTCATTTCTCCCAAACCAGAAGAGCATATGGGAGACAAGAGTTCTGGAATTCGGAGATGGACCAGGGACAGCTCTTACCTTCTGGGAGAAGGTGGGCTGGCTGCTGAGCCTTTCCTAGCATCGGTTTCCTCAATTGTAAAATGGAAACACTAACTACCTCCTAGAATTGAAAAGAATATACAGAAAGCCCCTTATCTGGTTGAGTACAGGCTACTTCTTTAGTCACAATGCCCTGGGTTCCCTGCCGGCGGGGCTGGCCGCTCTGGGTTGGCACCTCCCTCTGCGGCCGGGACCCGTGTTCTCACAGGGGCCACTAGGCGGCGCGCTGCAGCTCCACACTTCCACCGCGGCCGCGGCGACCTCCATCCTCAGGCTGTGGGTCTGGAAGCGACAAGCGCCCCTGGCTTCTACCCCGGGGGGCCTCCCGAGGAGTGGTTCTTGGACCCCCGGCTTGTCTGGGGGAGGAGGGCTCTCAGACGACTCGGTTTGGAGGATCTTGGGAGGGAAGTTTTGAGAATGAGTTCATAATCCCTCCCCTGACCCATCCAGTCCAAACACCTGGACCCTGCGGAGGGAGGCACCTAGGGTTGAAGCCCCTTGAAGCTCTACCATGTTATTATTATAGCTAATGTGGAGTGCTTTCTATGTGCCAGGTATCGTCCCAAGTCTTTTATATGCTGACAACAACCTTCTGAGATAGGTACCGTTATTACAACCCCTATTTGCCAGGTAAAGAAACGGAGGCATGGGGAGGTTGCTTGGCCAGGGTCACACACAGCTAGTGGTGCAGTGGAGATGCAAATCCAGACAGAATGGATTCTCAAGTTTGTACTCTTCTTTTTCAATTGAGAAAAAATTCATGTAACATAAAACTTACCACTTAAGAGTACACGATTCAGGGCGCCTGGCTGGCTCAACCAGTGGAGCGTGTAACTCTCGATCTTGGGGTCATGAGTTCAAGCCCCATGTTGGGCGTCGAGCTTACTAAAAAATAAATAAGTAAATCAAAGTGTACGATTTGGTGTTTTCTAGCATATTCATGGTGTTGTAGGGTCATCACAACTATCTAATTCAATAGCATCTCCATCACCCCAGAAAGAAATTCCACCATGAAACCCACACCATGAAACAGTTCCCTCCCCTGCTTCCCCGGTGCATTCTTTCTTTCCTCTCCCAGCCCCTGGCAACCATGAGTCTACTTTCCTGTTTCTGTGCATTTGCCTATTCTGGGAATTTCATATAAATGGAATCATAACACTACGTGACCGTCAAGCTTGGGCTCTTAACCTCAGCTAAATACTGTGACAGCCCCCCTCCCACT